CATTGTTGTTGAAAACGAGGGGATACAATCAACAAAGAAAGAAAACGTTTTTCAACAATGTAGATTAGTCATTCTGCTGATTTGAAAAAAAATCTTTTCCATTAAGTACATAGTCTTGTTGACAATTGCTTGGATATTAATTGATAAATCTTTTCGAAGATTATTGTAATTTTGAAGTAAGAGATTTCCACAAGGGAATATTATGTCATTGAATTTGGTAAATAAATAGTTTCTACTCAGATATGTTTTGAAGTTTGCTGGATCGTTAACTACATCTGCTCTAGTTCAGCCCACGTAGAAGCATTGCAATATATGAGAGAAAAAGAAAACAAAAATGTTTTTTCAATCCACGTGTTTATTCGCATCGTCATAAAATATCATACGGATGAATGAACAGCTCTCATGACTAGTGTGAATATATTAATGTAATTACACACCTGCATATATATCAGTTGACTAAAAATCATATAAACAAGAAACACAAATGAGTAAGCGTGATTGGCGTATCAAAATAAAAACATTTTCGAAATTTTGCACTGCGTGTATTACTCCATAGCATAGGTGAAGTTTTTTTAACTTAATCTGACGTATGCTATGAAAAGAATGAATAACTTTCTTTTACTTGTAACACCAGTTTATGCAAATCAATCTTGTTTTTTTTTCAGAGTCATCATCGTCATTAAACACAGTCGGTAGCTTTTCTTGAACGTTAAGTTAATGACAGCGAATGGTTCTGGACATATTAGTAAGTTAATGAGATTTAGAGGCATTTATCCCTGAATTTTGTACTAGATAATCTCGGCAGAGCTCACACAAATGCACTTAAACAAACATGGATAGCTTTGATCGATGCTATAGGCAAGGAAACATCGTTACAAGGCAAGCAGATTGCTGATTCTGTCTATGGAGATGAATTATTTCGTGCAGTCGGCTATGATAATCCAGATGTACTTATACTTCGATGGCTTCGTTCTCGTAAATGGAATGTGAACATTTGTGTTAGTCAAATAATAGAGGCACTTAAGTGGCGACATGACTGGGGCGTTCAAAAGCTAATAGCTAATGGTGAAAGAGCTATTTGTCAAGAAGAAATTGCAACAGGCAAGACTTATTTCATGGGTCACGATAGAGTAGGTCGACCAATTTGTTGCATCCATCCGAAAGAACATATCAAAGGCCAATTTCCTAACGAATATACTGAGAAACTGGCTGTCTTCTGTGTGGAAACATATCGCAAGGTGCTGAAACCACCGATAGAATCTGTAACGATCATTGCTGACATGGCTGGCTGTGAAATGAAGAACTTCGATCTGCATCAGATTAAATTTGTTACTACCCTAATCGATAGCTATTACCCAGATTCACTTGGTCTTATACTTATTCTTAACTGTCCTTGGATATTCGATAGAAGTTGGATGCTAATTAAAACTTGGTTAAGCCCAAGTGTGCAAAAAAAAGTACGATTTATTCATAGCGCAGACGAATTAGCCGAATTTATTGACCTATCAGTTCTTCCGAAAAGATTGTATGGTACTCAACCGGATTTTAAATTCATCCCACCGACGGCTGAAGATGAAATTATGTTTAATGCTTTTCAAGCTGATACAAAAGGCAAAGCAATCGCTGAAGCAGCACATCGAGATGCTGTTCAAAATTATTTGAGTGTCACTTTACAGTGGGCCAACGGCAATGAAAGTGGCAATATACTATCAGAGAGAAAAGAGGCTCGAAAACAACTTCGTCATGCATCTGAACAACGTTCTCCTTATATAAATACCCGTACTCATTATCATCGTGTTGGAGTGATCAAAGAACCTATTTTTCAAGTTGCATACGATAGACTTGTGCATAGTAAAGAAGAGCCAAATGTCACATTCTTTTAAATGTAATCATTATTTCTATTGAGCGCTGTCTATTATAATATTTTAGAATGCGAAGGATACTATATGTATTTAATAAAAACGAGTCATATTCTTTAATAATGGAGGATGTGAGTGTTGCCATGGCATCCACACGTCATATCCACACCTACACTCTCTATTGATGATGATATTTACATCTTTTTATGTGTATAAACGTGATGAAGAATACTAAGTCCTTCAACACTTCGTAAAAATCTTGATGAACTTCAGAATATTTTTCAAGAAAAGATCTTCCTACTGATTACGTTTATGATGATATCATATTAGAAATCACAAAAATGATATTTGAGCTTTTTTTTGTGAGAAAGAATAGACATTCAAAAATGAGACTCAACCAATCCAGAAGGACAGAAAAATCTTATAAAATGATATCTATAAAGCTGTTCAATTATGAATTATTGTGCACCATTAAATACGTGTGACTCAACAGTATTCGAAGCAATTGTAATTGAACTATATTAATCGCAAGTTGAGTGTTAGCTAGATAGATTTGTTGCACGAAATCGATGTAAAAAAAAGCCTCCATAGTCAATATAACATTAAATATTCTATAGAAATTCATCAACAAAATACAAATGATCTTAAGACTTTATTTTTTCTTCGCTACTTTCTGGATAAATAATTAATTGTGTACATCTAAAAATGGCAATAAGTTTTTTCGTTTTTAAATCAATAACTTGGGCATCCCAAATTTGTGTTGTCTTTCCACCATGTAGTAATTTAGCTTCACAATTTAATACAGCTGATGGTTTACCTTTTCCCAAAAAATTTGTTTTCAATTCAATTGTTGTAAGCGTAGTAGCTCCCAATGGTAATGATACCAAACCACCAAAACCACAAGTTGCATCAGCTAATGTTACAATAGCACCACCGTGAAGATAACCATCCACGGACATTAATTCATGATGAACAGTTATCTGAGATAAAACATAACCGTAACGAATGGATAGAATTTCCAAATTAATTCGACCAGGAAATGTACTTTTTGTACGATCATTCCAATGTGTTACTTGAAGAAATTCATGAAGAGAAATTGTATTTGACGATTTATCGTTTTGATTTTCAGATGTAGCACTAGAAAACACTAATCGATAGTTATATTCAAATTTTATCTAATGTTGAGTGTTTATTTTATTCTAATTCTGATACTATGTCGTGTATCGTTAGAAAAATCAAAATGAAATAGTTTTATTTGAAATGTTTTCTATATACAAAACTAATTATTTTCTTTGTTATCCCTAACATTTTCTAGTTTCATCGAAATCGACCTATAGGCAACCAGATGCTATACAGCTCTAAAAATATTTGATTTATGTTCGTGTAAAATTTTGACAATTTTGATGTTTTATAACTTTGAACTCTGGTGTAAATTCATTTTCATTTGAATTAGAATGATTGTAGAAAGTTAGGTAGACTCTAATTTTGCTATACGCTAAGATCTACTTTTAAACCGGTTATGAATTTTATATTATTTTATACAATAAGATTCATGATCTAACATTGAATCAATTAAAAACAGTCTTGAGCGCAATCTTTTTTTTCGAATGGAAATCTCAAACACATTCGAGTTAACAATTTTTTTGGCATCTACAACAATAATGTTGAATTACAATCCCTACGTACATGTTAATCATCAAAGAGAACTTATAATTCAATACTCCAATGATTAATTAACCGAGAAATATTCGTATTTATAAACGCAATAAAAATAGGATCAACGAGATCATGTTTGTTTCAAAATACGAAGAAGTTACAACTAATTGGCTCAATCTTCGCTCACATATAGTATAAAATAGCACAGTTCACTCCTTGATAGGATTGATCTCTTTTCTCTTCTCACTGCAAAGATGAGACCTTATTTTTGAACATAGATACTTTTCCATACAATTTTCGACAAAATGTCCTTTCAGCCAGAAACTGATGACGAATATTTCATTGAATAAATCACAGTGTCAGTTTAATCTCGTTTTGCATGATGAACAAAATGCTTTTATAGAAACTTATCTTTGAAATTCTTTCATAAAACGTCAATAAGAGGGAACATGTAGACGAATGGATTCAAACATTTTTGAAAAACATATTCTCGTCTAACAATAATCCCAAAAACCTACGATTTTTTTGTAACTTAATCGGAAATAGTTGTGTAACTTGAGGGTGTGGGTATCTTGCTGAAGAAAAAAAAGAAGGCAACTCCTGTAGCAGAAATTTTCACATGTAATTTCGACATTTGAAAGAACAAAAAAATTGGTTCTGATTTACTTGGTTAGATATTGTGCATTTTCTGGAAGATTAGAATTACTTGAAATTTGTTTGAATACTGATGATGGTAGTTGTTGTTGCAGATTTTTATCAACATAATAATAGAATTTATGTTCTTGTTGATCTATAATTGCTTTTAATTTTTCATTAGTTCGATAGCTTTCGATAATTGAAGAATCACATATATAATTTTTTGATACAGAAGACAATAATACACGACAATAAATATTTTCAAAAGGTAAAAAATTTCTCCTGAATATTAATCTAGCAAACATTTATATATAGAATCTAAAATACATTTCAAATGTAAATACTTCGGTTATCAAAACAAACAAAATATTCTTTCATTTTATAGAATTAGAAGTTTTATTGAAGAATTCAACACAAAATATTTTACATATTTTCGAATATCTACTTGTGAGATAACGAACAAGAGTGAAAAGGAATGTTGTTTATTAGTAAATTAACATTGGAATTTAAAGTAAAAACCTGAAGAGAAAGTTTTAATTTGTTTTTCTTCTAAATAAACAAATGCAATCAAACAAAATAGAATCCTGTAATAATAATAGCATCTTGATTGTTCACCTCGAAGTTTTCGTGATAGATAAATAGGACACGAATGAAAGGCTATTGACTGAAATTAAAGCCAGAAGATAAGAAGGACACGAATAGATGACAGTAGTATACTGAGAATATCGAAGAGCTATTGATGGTTAAGAACACCATAAAATTGATCGTTAGCCTGACTCGGTTCATTGTTGAAATTTTCTTCACTTTTATTCTGTATGTGTTTGAGATTAAACTTTACCAGACAAAGACATGGTATGTTTAAATACTATTCGAGTGCCACTGTGAAATAGTTCATCCTCTTCATCGTCGAAGTTATATTAGGACCTTAACAAGATGGTGTGAACGTGGGTGTAGTTACTCTGTATCCACACCCACCCTCACTCACACTCCACACTCTGTTCCACTGAATGTTAAAAGATCAGGCGAGATCACACGCAAGATCTTACAAGATATAGACCTTCAGATTATGGAAGAATCTTACGCTAACATATTTTTACGATTCCATAAGATCATACAGAATGAATCTATCGGTTTTCTATTGTCTCTCTGATCGTGTAAGATCTTATATGATCTTTGTACGATTTTTTCATCTAGAAAGCCATCAGTAAACTGACGCCACACATCTCTAGTAAAAGTATGTCCGTTGAAAGTGGTTTTTAGAATCGAAAGTATGCAAACTCTTATAAATAGTTAGTCAAGCAAATTATTATCGATACGCACTGCTAGTCCAAGTCTGACATCTAATCAAATCTTTATTCATTGGTTGTTTGCTTTTTCTTTATGTTCTGAAGTCGAGAAAAAAACATATGATTAACGAAGTTGTCATTTTTCTTTTAACAAAGCCGTCGATTCGTATTTGTCACTTATGCGATCTGAAGAAACCTATATCTTCAACATGGCTTAAAATTAAATTATACGACAAAATCTCTCAGCATCGCTTGAATGGTTTGACTTCTCTTGATATACTCTTTTTATGCTGAGATTGTGCAATGTTGGTGCAGATGAGCATATGCTAATGATTTTTTTTCTTGTTGTTTATGATGACGCAATATAAATCGTATGTTATTGACACAGTATGATTACTGTAATAGAAGTGAGGAAACTTCCCTAGAAAGAATACTCTTTTACTATCAGAAATTTATTTTCGAAAAAGATCATCACTAGACATGAACGGGGCGATGACAAGTTACAAAAGTTATTTATTATCTTGTTACTTTTTTCACTCATACTAAATGAAAGAAGACAAAAAAAAAATCGACGTAAAATTCTCGGTCATAATTACAATACACTTATATATGTACAGCGTCTATAATACTGTCGATGGTCAGTCAGCAAAAGCATGATCGACAGCTTGTCGATGTAAACTATGTGTCATGACCATCGTTCATGATATATTTTTTGTTTTATAGTATGTTCTTTCTTGTGAGTTTGCATCTGCTGTTGTCTTCTTGTTATTATAACATATGTGATATTCTTTGATTCTTTTTTTCTCTTCGTCTCTCATAATTTTTGATTTGTTCCTCTCAAAGAAAAGATACGTCACCCTTATGTTCCTGTACCTTAGAGAGAGAGAGAATATTTTCAAAAAAATTCTAGTAGTTTTTGTTTGAGCATGTTATTTTCTTCTTTTTTTTTCCTTGGAATAAAATAAGTCATATGGAATAGTAACTTTACCAGGCCCTTGTTAACATAGAAATACGAATCACGTAACTATCTATGTTTTACTTTTTAATTCTAGATGACTTCTGATTGGAATCTATTCGACCGTTTGCCTAATGAAGTGCTCGAACAGATTTTCCTCTCGCTGCGTCATCTGCCGCCTTTTACAAAAAATAATCACGTACGTCTCACGCCAGACTCACTATACTTCGACTATTCGATTCAACAGCCTTTATTGAAACAAACTCATAAAGATCTTCTTTCAATCTCACTTACTAGCCGACGTTTTTATAACATTCTTAAATCACCGATTTTTTGGGAACGAAAATGCCGTCACGATTACGTTTTGGTGCCCACTCAAGTTTTCCCTGCTGACTTTACAGCCTATCAGAAACTCTATATCAATAATCCTTTTCATCCATCATTCAATTTTATCGAGGAGAACAAATGGAGAAAATCTCGATATTCAGATTCACAAATTGAATTTATTCCAATTGGTAGTAATCGGCTCTATGATGAATTCAAACGTCTGTCTAACTGTCGTGTAACATCTTATACTTGGGGACACTTCTTTCAGAGAGACATTCAACTTCTTACTGATAAACTTTCATGGCATGATGTAAGTAATTAATGAACTTCAAAGGTTCATTTGTTCACAATTCTTTTTCGTACCAACTGCAGAAGCTACAGAAATCAATATAAAATTTTCTTGCGATCTTTAAGTCAAAAAGAATCCATGTTCTGACTTCGAATAAATAGAGCAGTTTCTTTGGTTTTTCTTTGAAAAAGAATACCTTTGTAATTCATGATACCAACGTGTGACGATATTTTCATCTGTTTTTTTTTTAATAATTTTATTTCTAGCTTGCTTGTCTACATCCAGTAATTGAATTCTCTGTATGTGTGGCTCCACGATGGGATTGCGCTTCAGAGTGTCGTATCTGCCTCATTTTTTCTGATGGACATCGTTGGGAATGTGAACGGCAATTTCCACAATGGAACGATAAAAAGTGGCACCAGTTGACTTACCATTACAGGCAATATACTCGATTTCCTACATCGGTAACTGTACAATTATCTGGCAAAGATAGACAGGGTTGGGCAGGATACTATGGTACGAAGTTTGCTCAGACTCGACTTCGATTACTCTCTCATACAGATGAAGGCGAGACGACTAATCAAGAAAATGAAACAATCATGGAAGAAAAAATCGAAGACGAACTTAGTCAAGCTCCACAATCTGAATCTATGCCCGACAACTTACCTGTAGATGATGGTGATGATTTTGTTCGGCAAAGCACATCACCATCATACTCGTCATATGGCAGCACCGAGTCAGACGATGAATGATCTCTCCTTTCGAATTCATATTTCACAATATTTATATGTATCACTTTCATTTTCTCTTGCTTGGTGCAGTACGATAAATGCCTCTTACACTCAAAAATACTTAATAAAATTGAATATTTTAGAAAATATTCGTATTTTTTTTTCTTCAATTGTTTTAGAGATATAAGGAGATGAAAATAAATTTTCCTATGATACTATGAGATAGAGAGCATCAAAGAGGTTGCTACCGGAAAGATTCGATGTGAGCAGTACACGGATATAGACGTGCTGAACAATTCTGTCTCAAAATATAAAATGATATTTCTATTCTGAGTCAACCTCATCGTGTTGTACGTGCATGGAACGGTCTTAGTAATAACATAGCAGCATTAGAACATTATGAAAAAGCATTTCGGGTAAACTTAACATATTTATCACCAGATCATTGTAGTGTTGCTTACATATACGATAATATTGATGATTATTACTGAAATCTAAATAAGAAAAAATTGATGCATCTTCATCTTCTGTTTCAAACAATGAGAATCGCTACTCTCTATCTTGTTTCGATCAAAAGTTATTCAAAAAATATACACTTCACTTTTTTTTCAATAGGCAGTAGTATAAACGTGACGTATGACAGAAAGATAGACCAGCGTTTTTACTATCAGTCCGTATAGAGAAAGGATGTGGGGGTGGGGGTGCATGTTAGTCTTCTTTTTGTCTCACAGCCACCCACATCCAAGGAGCACTTGTTTTCGCATTTCTCACTCAGCACCCACTGCTCAGGACACCCCTGTCTATTCACGGAAACATTCAAGAATTCATTTAAGCTATTGACTTTGATAATCGACCAAACCAAATGTTACCTAAGACATGAGTGGATTCGATTTAACACATAATACACACTAGTCCAGGGAAGAAAAGTATTTCTTGAAAGTTTACGAACGTTTATCATTAAAATTGTGTTCCTGTTGCTCTTAAAGAGTCGTCATCGGTGCATACTTTACCTGTAACTTGGTGGCGCGATGTCAAACGATGTAATGTTGGTAGATTAAGTAAAAGATTGATTTTTTTCACATTCTGATTTAGATATCTTTTTGAAACGGTAGCAAAGTTACGTTTTTTTCTTCTTTACAAACGTTGCAATAGATCCTAGAGAAAGTAAGGAAAAAACCTTGACTATTCAATTATCTAGCAATCTTTCGACAGTCATAAAAAAACAAACATCAAACGAAAACAGAATTTATATGAATACACTTCGTTAGAAACGAAAAAGGTAATAAATAGCTGTAACATATTGGTGTTTGTTCGTCAATCACCAATTACATTCGTTTGACTTGAAAAACACACCAAAAAGAAGCGCCTTAAGAAATCCGCTGTTCCACACGTATCACCAATAAGATGAATACACGTATGTATATTTGTTTTTTCATTGAATATTTTTCTTCACTTTTTTTCCGACGAGAATTTTGATGCATCGATTCGCGACAAAGAAAGCGAACAAATTGAGCTCATTACTTCAAAGAATGTTTTTAAAATCTCTTATTTGAGTTTCGCTTTAGTTTCTCGAAAGTTCTTCTTGAGTTTTATTGCTTTGACGAAGGAAGATAAATCAGAATATAAAAAAAGAAACGTTCAACACTTTTGTAACATTCTGTTCATACTTGCAACTGGGCCAACCGATTTACCGTTTATCGATTCAGTTTGGGTGAGCATAAGGCATTGAACAGATGTGCTAGTATTCTTCTAACCGTAATATCCACACCTGCTTCCATACAATTTAATAATGTTTATTTCTATTGAAGCTTCGTGATATACTGAAAATTGAATGTAATTTAAAAGAAGGAATTCTATGAAATAGTTGATCTACATAAGAACATGCTTCACATTTTTTTTAAATATTGTTAGTATTCGACAAGATTGAAAAGCTTTTGTCTATAGTATTTATGAAAACTTTTAACTGTTTCAAGGAGAATAAAAGTGAATAACAGTGTCTTATTTAGTAATATATAGTAGATAAATCACTTGTGACGATTCATTTTCATTATAGAAATATGAAAATAAAATTTATTTTAATAAATTCAAGTGCTTGCTTTCAAGTTCATAACAATTCGAGTTAAATATTCTTCTAAATTATTAACACTATAAGACAGTCCGAATCTTTTCAATCTTGAGTATGGGTTAAATGAAGGGGCACACTCACAAACACCCAAACTTCACAGCCACACCCACAAAGACACATTCACTATCATTCGATAATATGCTGATCTCGATATTTCTTTCCGAGTAAAATTCATAAAATTCTTGTCAGTATTAAAAATGTAATCTATATTTCCAATATACGGGAGAAAATAACACACGTTAAGCAAACGAATACAAGTTAAAAGAAAAATAAATCTTGTGTAAAATACTTATTTGAAGAAAGAAAATAATTTGTTTGTTTGTTTATTCTGGAGTATCTTCAAGATTTTTTTCATAGACGCAAGAAGCAAAATGGGATGCTTTTTCAGATTCAATGAAATCCAAATCAATATCATTGAATCTATTTCTTCGAACATTGTCACTGTTATGTTCAGTGACATGTTGAACAAGAAGTGAATAAATAACATCTTTCAATGGACCAGCATAGTAATATTGACATTCTAAGGTGAAACCATCTTTCTCTTTAATTAACCATAACTGTTCATTTGAGCTCGAATCTAACATAAGATCATTCAACATAGTCTGAACTTGTTGAAATGGAATAAGAGATGATTGAGAAAGATGAAGAAGTATTTTAGCTGTAACATATCGAACACTCATAGATTTTGATTTTAAATATGATAATAAAAGTTTTAAAACGACTTTCTCATCTTTAACCGAATGAATAAATCTTATAGATTTATAACAATTATTTTGAATATATGAATCATCACGTACAGCTTCAATGAATATTTGACATAAGTCGATTGTTAATTCACCCAACAGCGATAGAATTGTTAAGCAAGAGGCGCGCTGTGGAAAATGATTTTGTTTACTCGCATAAAACAATGCCCGTTTTAAATTGTCTCCATCAGGCCAATCTTTGATGAAAGCACAAAATACTTTTGGCATACGTACAGCGATTAGACAAGCAATATTCACATATGTAGGATATCCGTAGGCTAAATCATAGTTATTGAATTCGATCTGCTGTATTTTATTGGAAAAATGACGAATACTATCGTATAATTCGACCATAAAGATTGGTAAAAGAGTTGGGTATTCTTCGATAAACTTTGCAACATTATTTTCATTATTTTGCTGAATTTCATCAACATACCAGGATGCTGTTGATCCGATTAATGCATGGTAACATTGAATATAATCATAATCGAGAAACCTAATTAGAAATAAGGAATCTTTGAGAACACGAGCCAATCCTACACGAACAGCTTTCACAATATCCTGTGAGTGATGTTTTAATAAAGTAGAAAAGAAATTTAAATCATCTTGATCAAATGTGATTTTGTTTATAGATACACAATAGAAATAACTTGAGATTAGCGCACATAAAACATTATTAGAATAATTAGAAGTACCATAACATGTTTTGTTCACTATCCATACAATTTTATCAAACAAATCTTTATATGTTTTATCATTACATACATAACCAAGAAGACACGCCACAGCTTGGCAAATTTGATTGTTATTGGACTTCTCAAATAACTTCATCAGAGCAGTAATTCCTGCCTGTCGTGTTTGATTAGTATTGTTCAGCAATTTGTATAAAGTCAAAAGTAATGAAATAACAAATCGTTTATGGCTTTCTGAAACTTCATCTGATGTTGTATCTCCATTGATCGAGAAGAATAAAATAAAATTCGATTCAATCATTTCACACAAATATGTCACCAAATCACTAGAGAGTCGAAACGAATTAATATAGGAGCATGTATCTAGCTCTATATTATTTGAAAAAAATGAAGTTACATAAGAATGTTTTGATGAATTTAAATTGTTGAAGGAATATTCTTTATTGGTCAATGCATGAATTCTATATCTTTCTAGCCAAAGTAATATTTCTAAATGAGATTGAATATCGAGAGTTATATTACGGATCAATCGATTTAATGTCAGTCCAATAGATGCTGAATTTAATTGATAGTGAATTTTTTTCTTGACTAGAGTTAATAAAACAGGTATGCCTAATTTTGAACTAGTTCGAACGTCATGTTCATATGATGATCGACATATAATCTCAGCTCTATGACGAAAACGATCATTGTCATTAGATAAAAGGTCACATATGATGGCTGTAGCTTCGACAGACCATATGTCAGAATTAATGAGAAGAAGTGCAGCATGATAGGCAAAACAAGACAATTCATTTGATTCTTTCCATTTCAGCCAAGATTCTAACAAACGACATGCTTTAAATTCTACCCAAGCCATACCATGAAGAGCATTATTTAGTATAAGCCAAAGTTTCTCATACTGATTATATTGATTTGTTAATGAAACGAAGGAAAGAATATTAGTGATTGTTAATACTTGTTCTTCTCTCAAAATACTTTTTCCGACTTGAAATAGTTTTGTTTCAATCGATTCATCGATGCTTAATTGACGATTATTCGCTTGAAAAATAGTATGAAAATCATTGGCTAATTCCACAAGATATAAATTTGAAATAGATAATGAGAACGATAGATTTTCATATGTACTAATATTAAAATATCTCTTCAAAGCAGAAGATTTACAATGTATTTTTCTAGTTTGGTCGTGTAAACTATATGAGAAACGATTCGTAATAGATGAAAAAGTACAATTCAATTCCATGTATGGTAATAAGGCTTCAATAACTGCTTGCCGATCTCGTTGATCTATATTATTAAATTTACTAATGAGATTTTGAAGACAATCGTCGATCGCTTGTGAATGTGAAAGTAAAGGTAAACATCGAATGAAAATAGTTGTTTGTAATAGAAGAGGTAAATTTGGATAAATTTCATTGAATTGATGTTCGATTTCCATTTTTAAAGATCTGTTTCTATCTACTTTAATTTGATCATAATCAGAATGTGAGTATAAAGCAATCAGACATAATGCATCAAGACGAGCAGGTTGATTTTGAATTGACATGGCACCATTTATAGATTGTTCTAATAAAAATAATTTTTTTTCATCGTCTGTCCAATGACAAATATGTGCCAAGGAGATTGATGCAGAATAGAGTTTAATATCTTTTTGTTCATTATTAATGGAAGTCAAAGCATTTTGAAGTCTTTGATATTCTTGTTCGATATTAGTTCGGATTATTGTTTTCCGTTTTTCATCTTTTAGATGAGATCCTTTAAAAAAGTTTGTATCTCTATCCATGTACTGACCAGTTTCATAATTGGTTGGACGTTTTCTTTTTGTTTCATAAATATCCAAAAGAATTGAATCATCTATAGCTAATGCCCATAAAAGACTACTAGCAAAATTTTCTAACTGCTGTATTCGAAGCCAAGGTAACAGATTAATTAAAGCGCCTAAAATAGACAATCTCTTGCACGATGGATTTGATAAAAATATTAAACATTCAGTTAGAATGTGACCAAAATAAAGATGTTGTTTGCTATTGGCTATTGAATCTTTTGGATTGATTATAATAAATTTTTCTTTCAATAATCGAATATAAAGATTCTGTAAATGTGAAGGAACAAATGTTAACGAAGTTAAAATATCTTCATCATTTCGAAATAGTAAATATTCCGGTATGGTATTCAAAGCAGTTGACATTCTATATGGTGTACCAAATTCATCACTGTGTTCTAATAGCCAGAAAAGTTTGGTGAAATGATGAATTAATGAGCAAGATTTTCGATTAGAATGAAATTGTACATCTGTTATTAATAGACCATTAAGGAATTGATTCTCATTTCGCAGAGAATTAGGCAGATGTAATGTCACTCGTTTATCAGGTTCTGATAAACCTTCTAATAAAATAGATGTTGAAGAAGATCGCAAACGAGCTACACTACTTCTTAGTGAATTTAACATATCAAGAAAATGAAATCTTGATGCTTCAATTAATTGAAATTTGTTGATACTAGTTGAAATAAATTTTGTTGTTTCCTGTTCCATGGATAGGTCATTTTCATCCGTAGCAAAGTAAAATTGACGTAAAATCATTGAAATATATTTTAATCTATTGATACAAATGCATAAAAAAGAATCAGAAATAATATCTAAATTGTTATGGATGTATTCAATGTCATATAAACAAATCGTTGCAATACACAAATCAACTGCTTCTAAAGATTCATCATGTTTTTCCATCCGCATGACAAAAGATTTTAAACATTCTTGTTGTAATTTTTTAAAATTTTGATCTTGTTTATCACAATCATTTGCAGAAAGAAAACCTATTAAAATTGGTGTTAATACAGATGATTCTCGATGAATATGCCAAGGATTGAAGACAATACTCTGACCATTTCGAGTCAAGCCGCCATATAAAGCAATAATTAATGGAAAGAGGAGAATAGGAATTGAATTGCTTTCAATTTGTTTATCAATCAAAAAACTTTTAAACGTAGTTGAATTCAAAGGTAATAACTGATGATTTGAGAAAGCAATTTTAACTAATAATCGATCAATAGCAAAACCATTATTTTCATCATCAATTATTAATAACGATTGAAGTATTGAACAAGATGTTTGATCTAACCATTGAATATTTTCAAATTCATGAGGTCTTCCTTCGAGAATTTTGCAAAGAGCTGTTATAGTTTGAATATCATATCGAGACGATTCAGACAAGAATTTTTTAATCCATAATGAAACAATATCTTGTCGAAATTTTTTTAGTACATTTATAATTTGATCGAGTAGAAACGGACAAACAATCGACCATTGATGTTGACCAGCTGCAATGATTAAACGATCTAAGGCATTGAACAAAATGTCATTTGAAGGATAATTAACAAATTCATCGACACAAGTAATTAGTATATAAGTACCAAGTGGTACAAAACAGTCATATTCATATTGAGCTTGTATAAACTCGTAGCAAAGATCGTCAAAATCGTTTTGAGACCAAGACAAACTAATTTTTCCTAAAACCAATGCAATTGGTACGTGAAACCGTAAATTAGTTACGTGACGAGACAATACTTGAGCAATAACTTGAATTTGGTTGTCTCGATCGAACACATCAGTAATGAATCTCTTCTGTTTTATTGGTGTATGTCCTTCGATGAGTTTCAAACAAGTAAAATATTTTTGAAATGCTTGATGAAGAAAACCATAGAGTGATTCGGTTCGCAAAACTAAAATACCAATATCATCACAAATGATTCGTGTCATTTCAGATGCTTGTCTTTCAAAACCATTCATATCATCTGTGGTTACCAATGTTTTGCTTATGAAACTTTTGATCTTTTGAACACAAATTTCTTTTATTTGTTCATTGTTAATGAAATTCGATGCTGAATTTTGATAGATATAAAAAGCGATGTCACTCAAAATTTGAATCACTTGTGATTGATCTATAGTTGGTACTTTAATATGCCAAAACTTTAATGCTTCTTTGATGATTGATTCATATTGAAGAAAACGTTGAGTAGGTAATGGTGGACAGTCTAATTGACTAAAACATACATTACAAATACATGATAATAGAGCACAATTCGAAGCCATTTCACGAAGATCAGCATTCATTGTTTTTTCTAATTCTTTTTTCAATGCATCACTATGATTTTTTGCTTGATTAACTAAGGGAAGATTTAGCATGTCAATTATATGTTGATGCACACGAAAAAACCAATAATCAACAAAATCTGTTATAGATTTTGTATCCATAGGTTGAATTGTATAGCGAGAAAATTGTTTCAGTAATGAAATAGTATGATAACTGATTATGCGACTTGTAACAATCAATTGATTACCTCCAGATCGAGATGGATCATCTAATAACTTATTTAAGTATATATTGTCGACGGCAGAAATATTTGTCGGTATTTGAACATAAATGTTTACAAAGTTTTCAATAATATTAATGATTTTTAAGCGTTGATCTGGAACCAAAATTTCATCAAGACCATCAAGTATGATTAGAGCTTGGCCTTGTTGAATATAATCTTGAAGAGCACATGATACATTATCAGAAGAGATCGATGAATCATCAATAGTTGGTTCTTTCATCCATTTGTGTTTTCCAATATAATCAAATAATGTTAATGATGGTTGTTCTTTCAATTTTTCGGCAAATTCTTTAATAGGAATTAGAATTGGTATACGAAGAGGACCATACTCAGTTGAATGTTGTTCATTGAGAAGAAGTGTTTGAGCAAGATGATAAACAAGCCATCGAACAAAAATTGTTTTTCCACTTCCTGGATCACCGAAAATAATAGTCCAACGTTTAGTCCGAAGAATCTGTTCCCCATTTATATCATCTTCTTCTGAACAACAATTATTTTCAACCACAGGTTTCGTGTAAGGAACCGATATTAATCGTTCCCACATTCCTGTGAGTTTTTCTCTTCTACTATTCACATCTTGTATCATATTGGAATCATCTTCCGTCAATAATCGTCGTAATCCGTTTCTTTCGAATGGTGTCAATTTGTCGGCTTTAAATCGAATGAATGTGCGTTTGATAGGAAATTTACATGATTGCCATTCATTTTCTAATATCATTTCTTCTCTGTTAGAGATTTGGTAGAAAAACTTGGCAACTTTGGCAACAACATCACTAGTGAGACCAGGAATAAATTCCCATTGATGTAGTTCGATACAAGTACGAAGATAAGATTCGATAGTTTTGGAATATTTTTCACGTAAGTGACGAAGTTTTTCTATGCTATTTTTCTTGGTTTCTTGTTCCATTACATCTAATCTTTGTTGGAATATCTCATCCGAAGATTGCGTCACACAGACTTGTTGGTCTTGTAAAGCGGTAGATAATATTTGAACTTTAATTTTACAGTCATCTGTTAGATTAGACTCATATTGAGCTAGTCGATATTGAAGACGAAATAGTACAGATTTCAGTTCCTTGTAAGTCATCCCATTAAGAAGGTTTTCATTTTCCGCACAAATAGTAACAATTTCATCAATGGTTTTTAGTATTTCTACGAGATCTTCTTGGGAACGAGTTTCGTCTAATACGGTTAATCTATCATTCAACCGATGTCGAAAACGAGTTAAACTAATTGTTATTAGTTTCATATGATCTTGACACACCTTTACTTCATTTGCTCTTTCAATAATTTTATCGACTGCTGTTAATATTGATTCATTAGCAATAGATGCCATTTAAATCATTCAAAATAATCTTATTTTCTAGAAATAAGTAGAAAACTATAAACGAAAACCAAACTACTTAATATTATTAGTATGATTCAACATTATTCTGTGTATAGCATCAATGAGAGAATAAGATAAATCAATACCATACAAAGTATGAAAATTCATGAGTACAAATCTACTCGTAAAAAACATTTTAAAGCAACACGACGCTTGTTTTAGACCGCAAAAGCCAGATCGTTAATTCAGTTTGATGAAATCGGTGGAAACTGCAGTTTGTAGCAATTTAGAAAAACTGAATAAATGGCCATACTTTTGCGTTTTGCGAAACACGATCTAAAAGAAGTGTTGAAGTATATGGGGTAGAAATTTGTGTCCACCTCCCACAGACTGTGAGGAGCGGCTTCAAAAATCTATTAGAGGTTATGTATAACTAACGTCTAATTGAAATCTACATATATAATATTGCATTATTGAAGTTTTACGCTGCAAGGTAAGGAATGTTACCGAAATAATCCCCAATATACATAAAAAAGACAAATCTTTAGGGGATTAGCAACCATGAGAATATCATGTTTCACAGTGTAATTCCACAGGGATTGCACTAACAGTTTTATAATAAAAATGCAAAAGACCGCGGTTCATAATGGTTTTGAAACATTCAATCAAGGGTTTGCTTTTCGTAGTTACTCAAGGGCACCCTCAAAAATCTAACCTAACCAGGGAACATAAGATATTCATGACACTTTGCACAGATATTGGGTTCATGAAAGTACATTACTACAAAAGAAATTTCACGTCTCTTTACCTTGCTGTTCAGGAGATTTCTAGGGACGAACTTGTAAAACAGACCTTAAATTTTTTTTAAATATACTTCGAGCTACTGAGTTCGGTTTGCTTTCATTTGAAAGAGAACTCCTCACCACTTCGGATGAAGGAAAGGTTTTTTTTTTAATTTTTACTGTTTCCTTTTTTCGATCATCGAAATCTCAAATATTCAGGACTGCTTGTCTCGAAAATCCCGGATTTCTCTAATATCGATGATTATCTAGAAAATTCCTTTCCCTCATCTGAAGGACTATACATACATGTATATCGATCAAAAAAAAAATACAGCCCGCTCGAACGAATTGTATTAAAAAACACTTGTTCGCAGTTCGATCTTTGACAAAAAAAACCACTTTTGAGAAAAACGTAAAATAAATTTCTTTTTGTATACAGTCTTGCTATCATTAGTAAAAATAGAGGTGAAGAATATATATATTACATGTCAATCTAAGCACTTATCGATGAGCATTAGATTGTCCTCATACGATATGCATCATAATAGATGGCACTAACTACAATTGTATTACTATGCCTCAAACTATCGACCTAGGCGATATAGACAGATGAATAACAAATTAGTCTTTTTAAATTAAGTTGTTAACATATAGAGTGTGGATGTGGACCAGTGTCAGATCATCTGAAATATCAAAAAAAAAACATTAACATTGAAATCAGGACGGAGAGTTATGCTTTTATAGATACATTTATCAATGATTCTAGATCGATTAACTGAAATAAGAGTGTCAGTATCTGGCTCCGTTCCTGGCAACCCATATCGATTTGATAGAAATTGAGAAAATAAGCAGGTTCATAAGTCTCAATATATAATCATAAACATGTGGAAACAAATCTTCGAGTGGGTTCCGTTCCTTGGGAACGGAATCATAGGGAACGGGGAACCCTGACACCCCTACACTGGTAAATCTTCATAACTTTTGAATGAAACGAGCTAGTAATGTCGGCCTTGCGTAGATCGAAAGAGAACAATATTTCCTATCTAACAATCAAATTAACGGCCAAGGCCCGCTGAAGAAACAACTCCAAAATGTCGCTTTTGTTACATGTCCACTAACAAGATATCTGTTTGGTCAATTGCTGACCAATCAACTTTTAGCAAATCTCTATGTTTCTAGGACTCTTCTGTGCAACGGCGAAAGCCGCCGCTTTGTATCTTGTTCTTATCAAAAGTTATGCAAAAAGAATACAACGGCTTTGTACTTTGAAACAGATAGTAGCTCCAAACAGCTTTCATAAAACCTCCGAATACATTGGAAAATCAAAACTATTTTTATGAATTCGTACACTAGAGAACTCAGGCTACATGCTTACATGTTTACTTCAAAAGCGATTTTTCTGATAGGAATTGAGTTTTCTAAAGGGCCCTTACAACCAATGGAAATCACGGTTTTTCTAGGCATACCTGTGTCAGTAAACCTGGCTCAGGATGAGCAGACCCACTTGAACTTTATACAAAGTTCAGCTCGGTTGCCCTCCGATGGACAGCGTAGTGAACTTTTTCTAGTCTCGTTACCACAGAATCACATTGCGGTGTGAGATAGAATAAGAAAATTTATTTCAAATTTCTTAGAATTAGTTGGGCCCGACATCCTATTCGCTCTTCTAAATTCTAACGTACTTCAATATGTATACTATACGAATTACGTAAGGAAAATAGTGAACATTAGATGCATATCAATATCAAAATTGCGATTTTATGGAAAGCTTTCTTCACAGAAATTGATTGTAAGAATCATGACTACAGTTATGATTACATTACTAATATTTGATGCTTTGCAAACCTAAAGGATAAGACACTACGGTTACAGTGGTTTTCTCAAAAAACATTTCTGTAGGTAGTGTGTGCAATTTTGAGTCTATATGAGAAAATCTCTAAGAAATAAATCTATTGTTCTACTGGAATTATGTAGCAAGATATTCAATGAAATTGATAGTTAACTTGTTCAATTATAAGAAAAATTTTAATATTTGGCTAGAGAATCAAAGTAAATACAATATAACGATTCGATGGGTAGACGTGCCCAATTACTTATTCTGAAATTTGATAGATTTTGGTAAGAAATCTCATAAACGAGTGTCACCTTGAAATATTTCTAGCTTTGCTTATTGTGAAACGTTCTTCTTGGTAAATAAACTGACTTAACAAAAAAAAATAAGAAAAAGAAAAAGAAAAAACATCAGTTATCAAAAGAGAAACCATTTTAAAAATGGCAGTCAGTTATGGCGTAGTGAAGAAAATGAAATTAAAATGAAACATGCAAGAATTTTTTTTTCGCTGAGAAGCTTTGTTACTACATTATACTCCGTGCAACTATTAAACAAAAGCAAACAGTCGAGTTTATGCACAATTAGACCCTTCTTTTTGCCGTTGTTGGAAGAATAAATTTTACCTGAAAAGAGACTAGAAAGAACAATTTCGTATTTTATCTCTCCATTAATGTAACCTATAACGAAGAGTTGGATGTGCGTGTGGATGTGGATGTCTAGCTAATCTTAGCCGACATGCATATCCCACACACCTACACCCACATCCATAACCTTTTTTGGGTATGGGTGTTGATGAAGTTAAGTTCCACATCCACACCCTGCATCCGTAATCTTTCCTAGTTTCATCACATTTCTGCAATGTACATTCAAGTATTGAGCAAAGTCTACTGTAAAAAAGAGTGAATACAAGAAAATCTATATTATTGATTCGTTACGCCCTAATTTGTTTTAAGCATTGAAATTTGTTGTTAGACTAAAACTTCAGCAGACACAAAGTTATTAGACCAGGGCGTCTATTGTTAGACTACGCATATTAGTTACTTGCGAAAAGTATGTAGGAGTTACTGCACGGGGTACTGAATAAGGTTTTCTTCACCAGCGCTCTTGTCAATCTTCACACCAGGCGTATCTCGTAATCCATCGAGAAGCTCGGGTGGAAATTCTTTTTTGATGATTTTCATTGCGTGAGGACAGAATTTTTCGTAGAATGCAATAAATATTTTGTCCTTCTCTTTTGTAGACCGACTCATGTAACTGGGATGCTTCATGAGCACGAGCTCATTAAAACCATCACCGTATACATCCAGAGTCCTTTCAATTTCTATTGCAGTTGGTCGCCGTCTCGAGTCGTAGGCTATGCATCGAGAGATCAGATCATCGAAGATTGGACTTTTATTGTGAAGTGAAATTTTGCCGCTAGGTAAAGTTTGAAATGAGTGTTTTGTCGAAGTGAAAAGTTCATTCAATGTTAAGCCGAATGTGAAGATATCAAGAGTTTCATCATAACTACCATGGTAATACTCAGGTGGCATATATGATTGACAGCTGATTTGCGTCTGCTGATTAAATGGATCGAAGAACCGCGCAATACCCATATCACCAATTTTGGCTACATCATTTTCGTTCACGAAAATATTATCTGGTTGAATATCTCGATGAACCATTTGGTGTTCATGAATCTTTCGCATTCCGCTAGCAATATTTCTTGCCATATCAAGTCTGCGTCGAAGAGACAGTTGGCTTCCATTTTCTTGGATAACCTTAGAAAGGGTTCCACGAGACATATATTCCATGATCACCATATATTTTATGTTTTCACCTTGTTCTGTTTTTGCATATCCGTATGTTTTCAAGATATATGAGCCTGAAAGTTCGGAATAGGCAGCTAGGTCTTTAAGAACGCCTTTTTCAAGTACGTCTGTGTCATCTGTCTTAGGTAAAGTAATCGTTTTACATGTAATACGACGCATTTTGGAAAGCCATCGAGCCTTGTATAGCGAACCTAAAATACGAGAATTTTCACAACACAGTAAGGTAAATTCTGTAGAAGTGTCTACCGAATGTTCCACTTCTGAGTTGGCTACCGATTTGAATATCTTCCACTGGAATCTGCTGAATCGCACGACGCGGCATGATGATAAGTGAGTGTGACAACTTGTGTGCTTTTGTAGTAACACTTCCATCCACACATTGTTGACATAAGTCATAATTTGAACAAGTATCACATTTAAATCGTAAGCCCTTGATAGGTTCACGGTTGCATCCATCACAAATAATTGATTCATGATTGTCATCAGCATATAATGTTTTGAGCTTAGAAAATGTCACGTCGTTGTCTCTGACTATCCGACCAAATAATTCGCCGACAGATTGAAAATGAGCAAATGCGTGGCCAC